ATTCACATGTTTGCATACCAAAAAGCCTGTAATTTATAAGCACCAATACATTCAAATATCGCTTGCCATGCAATAATGGACACACCATAGAGGTGTGGTCATGTTGACTACTGGTGACAGTTCGAGAAAGACTCAAAATATCATGCTGATTATGAAACTTCGAATGTGTAGGGCATAGCAGCACCCACAACGGTACTATATTTGACTTAATATGTACTCGATCTGACCTTAACCACATGTACGGCCAAGACAATTATATCTATAGAACAAAAGCAGTCGTTTTTAGTTTTCACCAGAGTGATGTTTTAAAGTACATGTTTTTAAACATAAAAATATGAGTTATTTCCCCTCTAAATCGCCTGATCACTTCCTTGTATAGAACCTAATATAAAAGAAATACATGTTTTACGGATAGACGCAAATAATTTAGCCAAAATACATTCTAAGACACACGAGAAATAAAAACACAATAAGATACAAATAATGAAATGCAAAGAAAAATCCCCAAGGAAATGAATAACATGAACGTATGTACATCGTAGTTGAGAAAGTAGTATCAATATTTAAGGAAATTATGTCAACAGGTACAACAGTTTTTGCTTCCGCCTTTGTTTGGCTCCGCCTCCCCAACAATGTTCCCTGGTATAGAGCTTCAAACATGGATAGCCACCGGGAAAAAAAAGAATCACGGTCATACTGGTGGAGCCTCCATTTGTGAGTGGAGGCCCGGAGCTCCTGCCACTCACAGCATGTTGACCGTAGTTGGAGCTGGCTCTCGTCTGACGTGCAGGTATACATGAATGGGGCATCGGCTGGTACAGCTGGGGAGAGTCATCTTCTGCAGCCATTCTGTACATCAGCCCCATACAGGCGACAGTGCGACGATGACCTAGGGGCTGCAAGGGTTGAACTGGCTTAATGATTGTACAGGCCCTAGCTTGGATGTTGTTAAGTGAACGCAGTGGAGTATTGCTTGCAGAGCACCAAGCAAGTGGGCCATATTCCATCTTACTTCTCATGTGTGCATTGTACATCTTCTGTCTGCCTGCCGGATCTAAGCGTAAAGTGATTCTCCTGAGCATGCTGACACTCTGTCCAGCTCTCGTAGCCACTTTGGACACATGAGCACCAAACGAGACGTTGTGTGTGGATGTAACACATGGCAAGTCCAATTCGTTGTGACTTTGCACTTCTCAGGTGCAAACAACACCTTCCACTTGATCCCCCAGTTGCTGATTAGTTCAAGGTCTCTGTTCAGTGATGCAGCATGGGTAGCTTCGTCGTTACTTGGGACAACACAGAAGAGAGCGCTATCATCAGCATAAAGACAAATGTGATTCTCAAGCCCTTCACACATGTCGTCCGCATAGACAAGGAACAATGTGGGTCTCAGTACCGATCCTTGAGGTACAGAAGCATATATGTTTATCCTTCTTGACTTCAGACCTCCAATCGTTACTTGGATCTCTCGGTCACTCAGGTAGTTGCCAATCAGCTGAACTAGACCACCACATATCCCTCAAGCTTTCAGCTTAGTCAGCAGACCAGCAAGCAAAACTCAATAATAAGCTTATGGTTAGACAATAATAAGCTTAATAACAGACTTCTGACTTTTCATCTGCAGTAGTACATGTTTCACCTTCATGCGTCACTGTTGGGACTGCATGTAGTGGGAGCTCTGCTACCTGGGAGACGATTCAAAGCCCACCACCAGTCCTTCTTGTTTGTTTCATTGTTAGTAAGGCGTTCCCGGGTCCTAATGAAATGCTGCTGACGGGCAGGTCTTCCCACCTCAGCAAGGTTCTGTCTAGCAGCACAAAGACTCTTGGTTTGTCATCCTGCAGGCTTTAGTAAACCACTCTACTTTTATACCGGGTCTTTTAATTTAGTTCCTTTAAGGTGTAAACTTCCCCATCGCATGTGAGATTACAGTTTCTATTTTTTTTTGCCACAGCTTCTGTGTCTGTGTTGAGCTTCTGTGAATAGGAAGCATCTTGTTGGTGTTGCCTCATTCCAGACCAATTTGCTTTGTCATAGCTCCTCAAACGGCGAGGATAAGGCTTGTCGTGTGTAGGAGGCCTTTTTTTATATTAATAGCAGAGTGATCCGATGTACCTATGTTCGCTTTAACTGACACTTGTGTTTGAGAAGGAACATCAATCAAAACCAGGTCAAGGATGTTACCACCACGAGTGGGTTCCTGGACAAGTTACTCAAGACCATTGGCAAGACTGGAGTTTTGACAGGCGATGCCCGCAGTTAAGCCAGGATGTGTGGTGGACGTTAAAGTCACCTACGAGTATGGTGTGTCTTGCTTGAGTGTTCAATATGACAATATGAAGGCTGGAGTTAGGATAGTCTTTCCGTCGAGTGTCAGATCCCGGGGCTTACCCAGGCCTATAGAACGCTCCTAGTAGCAAGATTCCAGTAGAAGTATGTATTGTGATCCACATGACCTCAAGGTCGGGTGGTTCCAGATCTCAATGACGTTGTACGTGAAGCCAACATTTTACCAAGGCAGCTATACCTCCCCATCCAACTGCACGATCTCCCCGCATCACAGGCTGCTGGTAACCAGCTTATGAATCTTCAGTATCGGGTACTTTGCACTTGAGCAGAGATTCTGTAACTAGTATCACATCGGCATGTAAACATTTGACTCTGTAACTCAAAGCGCCAATATCGGTCCGTAAACCTCGCAAATTTGCATAAAGCAACTGCAACTGATTAGTTCGTTTTCTCATTGTGTGTGCCATAGATTAACAGTGGAGTGGAAAGAAGTAGTTGATAGCAGCTCAATCGGACGAGCCTACTGGCTTCCACGACTTCAAAGTTGCTATCTTCCCACCATCAGCCCCTAGGGTGCATTCATTAAACTGTGGGTTTTTTTTTCAGTTGTGGCTGCCAAGTGTTTCTTTCCATGTCAAAACTCTGCCCCGATTGTGCCACACACTTTGCTGTTCTGCCATCCAAACCATTGTGCCTCTAATTAGTTGGCATCATCTGCTCCGTCTACCACACAGTTTTTGTGCACTTAGGCGGTGATGTTCCCCAGCAGCAATACCGGAATGTAGCCAGTGCCCCTTACCTAGTTTAGCACTAAAGCCGAGTGGAGGTCCCGGGGTATGGTCACTGGTGTGCGCAATCAAATGCTTGGAGCCATAATTGAGAGTTGAGAACGTGAGTGGATGGACCAGTGACTCCTACCTACACCCAACTTGACTTAGGTGAGCGGCATCAGAGGCTGTGAATAGGAAGTCACTGTAATTTCTGAAGTGTTCACTTGCAAATTATTTATTTACATATGTTTCGTTATGCACCATACACGATCTAAATTCGGAGACAAAGGAGGAGTGGGTGGGGCCTAGCCGGGTGTTGGGGGACAATACGACCTACTACTCTACACAGTGTGATTCTGTTCATGAAAATGTGCTAGATTTTACGAACATTTCCAATAATACAAGTTAGTATTTAAAACAAAGGAAAACAAACAACTTAAAATACACTTGTTATGGTTTTTGTGAAAGTTACCATTTTTGGAGCGCTACTGCTCAAAGGATATACAATACCCAAGATTTCTTTCACCAGATATGAAAGGACAAATGTCGGATCTGACCATTGCAAAAGAGGAAATTATTCTGAGTGACCAGCAGGTGGCATTGTGAAGGGTTAAAAATGGGCTAAAAATGCAATATTGCTAGTTGTAAAAACATGCTGTATTGTATTATAAAGCCTAACATAATATAAAGGTGATTTTTTTTCAATATTTTTTTTTCTTCTGAGGGTAAGGATGATACTTCATCGTGATAAAGTTACTTTTGTGACGTTACTTCACATTTTGGCTTGACGACTTTGAAAATACCGCTTGCAGCCTCAAAGTTGCCATGGCAACGGGCAAAATATCAGTTCAAAAAGTCTATTTGGTTACTTACTCTCAAGGTACTTTCATCCCACAAAGTATAAAAAAAAAAAGATTTTTACACGAAATGACCCAAAAATCATGACTGACACATTATTCAACTGTCTCAGATTTTATGTTTTGAAATATGATTCTTTCAAAAAGAGTTTAAGTATAAACATCCCAGATCATTGTTTTTATCCTACTGACCAAAAGGCGATTTGCGATATTGCTCTATCATTTAAGAACGGTACAAATTCGGAATATGATGGCGTCAGCCCAGTTGTTTTTATATCCGTTATCTCCCAGGTTAGTCGTCCACATATGCCATGTTTACAATGTGTCCCTTTCTGAGTAATTTTCGTGATAAATTCAAAACAGCCAAAATAACACCCATATTTGAAACTGGAGATAAGTGTGAAACCGGTAACTAGAGACATATATCTGCCTTATCACCTACATTACCTGAAGCAGGATTTAGTTTACATTACAAACTCTTCTTTTTTCTCTTATTGTAACATTATTTGGGCCAACACTAACAAGTAAACTTCTTGATAAATTGATTCAACTATTACAGAAAAGGGCAATTCGTATTGTATGTAAGGTGCACTTTAATGAACACGTACGCCTAAATCGTTACACAACCTTTTTCAATGTAATATATCCATGCATGATTATAATGCTAGGTCCTCATCCAAAGTACTGTAGAGTGTCGATTTGGGGGTTATCGGGACACAGTCAACTGACAAACACAGTTGATAATATTTGTTTCAAATACTCCTTTATTTTACAAACTGCAAAGCACACAAAAACACTTCTGCTCACAACAACTCTCAAAAATGTGACCTGACTAACGCTGGATTTCCACACAGGGACAAAGCGTCCCGTGAACGGGTTTTACAGTCTGGACAGGGGCTCCGGTCCACACCATTGAAGGTGTATAGCGCCCTCAGTTGGCCGCTCTTAGCATACGTTACACCACCCCCTGCGAGATCAAATAAGTAAAAATTAAGGCTCGCTATAGGGAGAGCATGAACTTTCAAAAGTCACAGGTGGTGGCATCCTTTTTGCCTAAGTCTGCACAAGTCCCGCAAGCTCCGTCATGTCTGTGGCCGCGTCTTTGACAGGCCCGGCACGCTCCAACACCAGCTGTCTTGCTATCTGGGAAGGTCACGCATGCCCCTGCGGCGACACGCTGCCCGTCTCTGCCGGTGTCCTTCCGCTGCACTGTCCCAAGCAGTCAGTCTTTTGGCAGTCCTTCCGGATCTCCTGGCAGTTTTTCCGCATCTTTCTGCGGTTCTCGGCCTTGGATGGTGAGCCTTTCTTTTTCGTCTGACCAGCTGAGGGCAGCGGGTGTTCAGGACAGCTAATGGTGGTCCAAGTGCTATTTGATAATGCCTCTGATTTCGGTAGCACGCCAGGTTGCTTGTCGGTTGGTTGTGGTCGAGGTCGTTCCGAATAGTGGCTGGCCTTTGCTGTGAGCTTCGTCGCTGGTCGATTGGTAGCATTAGGCCGCTCTGAGTGGCAGCTGGCCTCCCGCCATACACTTTGCCATAGCCTTTAATTGGCTGGTGTTAGCCGGAGGCCGCTCCGACTGGTGGCTGGCCTTAGTTGCAGCTTTCGTCGCTAATTGGTTGGCAGCGTTGTGAGGCCGTTCCGATCGAGTGGTGGCCGGCCTGCTGCTCCGCTGGATGGTACTTTGGGGTCCTGTGATCCAAGCTGCTCTGGCTTGTCCTGCACGGAACCCACCATCTGCAGTCCCCAGTCTTGTGTCGATCAGGCTGGGTGACTCCAGTCTTGTGTCGATCCGGCAATTGACCCTTCACAATTGCTTCTTGGCCAGTCGGGACAACAGTGTTCTCGAGGACGTGCACTCTTGATACCTAGTACCTATTTTTTTTTCATTGGTTTGTGCATGGTAGATATTTTCTGTGTAGTAGGGATCCGCCTCATTGACTTGTGCACGGTGGATCCTTTCTGTGTAGGAGGGATCCGCCTCATTAACTTGTGAACGGTGGATCCTTTGAGGGGGATCCGCCTGATTACTGGATTGTGCACAGCGGAACCTTTCTAGTGTAGTTGGGATCCGCTTCATTCATTTGTGCAAGGCGGATCCTCTGAGGGGGATCCTCCTCATTGGTTTGTGCACTGCGGATCCTCACCGAGTGGTGAGGATCCGCCTCAATGATTTGTGCACAGCGGACCCTCTTAAGGGGGATCCGCCTCATTGCTTTGTGCACAGTGGATCATCTGGAGGGATCCACCTTATTGGCTTGTGCACGGCGGAGGCAGCCTGATCGACATGAAACTGGGGACTGTACCAATTTGGGTGTTAAGTCCCAAAGCGGCCCATTAGTTTTCTGAGAAGGATACGCCTCATTGGTTTGTGGACAGCGGATCACTTCTGTGTAGTCGGGATCCACCTCATTGACTTGTGCACGGTAGGTTCTCTGAGGGGGATCTTCCTCATTGGTTTGTGCACAGCGGATCCGCTCCAAGTGGTGAGGATCCGCCTCATTGACCTGTGCACGGCGGATCCTCTGAGGGGGATCTGCCTCTATTGATTTGTGCGCATCGGATCCGGGGGGGGGGGATCCACCTCATTGGCTTGTGGACGGCGAATCCTCTGAGGGAGATCCGCTTCATTGGTTTGTGTACAGCAGATCCTCTCAGAGTGGTAAGGATCTGCCTCACAGGCTTGTGCACGTCGGATCCTCTCCGACTGGTGAGGTTCCGCCTTATTTGCTTGTGCACGGCGGATCCTCTCCAAGAGGTGAGGATCCGCCTCGTTGGCTTTTATACAGCGGATCCTGTCCGAGTGGTGAGGATCCGCCTCATAGTCTTGTACACGGTGGATCCTCTACGAGTGGTGAGGATCCGCCTCATTGGCTTGTGCATGGCGGATCCTCTGAGGTGGATCCGCCTAATTGGTTTGTTAACAGCGGATCTACTTCGACTGGTAAGGATCCGTTACATAGACCCGTGCACGGCAGATCCTCTCCGAGTGTTAAGGATCCGCCTCGTTTGTTTGTGTTTGGTGGGTCCCTTCGAGGCAGCATGGGCCTGTCACATGATCACGTGTACAACAGTTCCCGTCAAAACCAAATGGGTCCAGGTCACGTGTGCAGCCGTTCCCGCCAAAATCAAGCGGGTCAGTTGTGCTATGTACTAGTCTGCGGAGAGAGGATAGTGGTTTCCTCGTTGTAGTTGTCTGGTCCCTACTGTAAATCCAAGTGGTTTCTCCCCGCGGGTATTCTTGGAAAGGAATTTCCATTTCCTGATCGACGGGCTCCCTGACTCGCCCATCAAACTCTGTCCCAAGGTGCTGGATATCATCACGCCCCACAGGTCGAAGTCCCACTCCTCTTCTACTCTCCCCGGAATAATTCCCCCCACTAGACTGTGGACGGTAGGGGAAAAAATGACTGCAATTCCCTGATGGTCACAAAGGAGTTCAGGGAATCGTCCAGTCGAGGGCAACTTGCCCCCACCGTGTGATCCCTACGTGTGACCATAATTCCGGTCCTTTTTCAATTAACCGAACAAAACACAATCAAAATACCTAAATTTCCTGTCCAGATTGTGCCGCTGCTGCCACCAGTGTAGCTTGTCGATTTGGGGGTTATTGGTACACAATCAAGTGACAAACACAGGTGATATTATTCTTTAAAAGTACTCCTTTATTTGACAACTGTCGAGCACAAAAACCACTTCTGCTCACAAAAACTCTCAAACTTGTGACGTAACTAACGCTTGTGGAAATTTCCACACAGGGACAAAGCGTCTTGTGATCGGGTTTTACAGTCTTTGTTTCATACATATACAGTACACATACCTCAGGTCAGAAAAACCCTTTCTCGAAATACCATTTCCTTCTCTGGACCGAAAACTTGATCTATCTTTCACTGTTCATAACAAAATGCCCTTCAAGTAATACATCATTAGTGTTGTTTGTCTTGTTTTGTCTTGTATTGTTGGGCACATCCATCACAAGTTTCGGCTTTTAAGCATGCTGCCTCCACAGAGTGAAATAAATGTTTTATTATTAAATACAAGGAACAAAGTCATCTTTTTTTTCTGAAATATTAATGGCGATTTGGTATGTTGTTTTTTTTTCCCCCAAGTCTCCTCCAACCTTCGAGGGGGAAAACGCTCATGTTTCACGGTATTCAATAATAGGTTTTCATCAGTTTATGCTACGGTAAATGATCAGTGGTAGAGATCTTTATATAAAAAAAAACGTAACTTGGGAATAGAGTAGTCGCTGTACTTTTTTATTGAAATGGAGCAAGTCAAATATTCTCTCTATTTGGTCACTATCAATTTTCCTCACCCTGTACAAGGTGTTGAGAACAGTGATGAAGGTCGATACCTGTGCCAAGTTGTGCCCGTTTCATCAGGGAACAGATTTGGACAAGTTGATATAAAGGTTATCGGTAAGTTATAACAAGTTTATAGTTGACTCTGTCGTCAAGTTCAGGAGTCTTTACTGTAAATATGGTTGGGATATATACTTCAGTAAACCTGTATTTTTTTTCGGGGCCGTTGCAAATCATAGAGCAGGGGCATTAATCCCGGGGATAGGGGTATATACCCAACTCACTTTTTGACCGGGGGCTATTGAATCCACTTTTCCGTGATGAGAAAGAAGATGCGGATTTCGAGGTATTTGACGATGAATATCTCAACAACCAAAATGTATTCAATAGCACTAAAAAGTGGAAAAACAAAGCCAAAAACGTAAACAATGCGACGTTTTGATGTAAACGCGAGTATACATATTGACACATATCCCGAAGAGCGCCCCAAGTGTGGTGTGATGTCCAGCCCCCCCCCCCTACAGCTTTTCGTATTTCCACGGTTGGGAAACGTTTGGATTTTGATCATCCCCCATCCTCTTCACTTGCCGGCACAAAGTAACGCCACTGTCATTTAGCAATGCTTGAAAAAAATGAGATGAATTAAGGCAAATCAATGTGTATTTAGCGGCAGTAAACACACATTGAAAATTTGTAATGCGTGAATACTGTTGGCAGCATGGGTTTAAAAAAAAATAAAGATCGACCTTATTCACTTAACTGATCTGTATTTGTAATTGAATGTGTTTTAGGGGACTTCTTTCCAGCAAGCAAGAGTGAAGCATCATCAACAGCTAGTTTTCAGCGAGGTCACAGACAGACGCTACCGTGTGAGTGCGCGTCACAGACGCCAGACGTAATGTATTGGTCAACGGGAGAGGGAGTCACTACAGATACACAGATCATTGGTGCACGTTTCTCTGATGGTGCTACCCTACAGATCCAACATGGCGCCGATAACAGCATTGGTAGCGACGCTTCACTTACAGTCAACTCCCTGCATGAAGTACAAGTTAGACAGAGATTTTGGTGTCACGTGTTCCAGTCGGATGGTACTCTCAGAAATTGCGCTACCAATGTCCAGATATCAGGTAATATAAAGTCACTTTGGATTTTGAAAATTTAAATATTTTCACAGTACGGCGTAGCGATGAAAAATATTAATTTAGAACAATTTGACTTAAAGACACTTGATCTGAGTTAATATTTATTCCACCATTCCAATTCTTGAAACAATTTGTTCAACATATTGGGCTATTTCAAGTACACAGAGGTGGTTCTTTGAATTGCTGTTAAACACTGGCTTCAGTTAAAGGGGCACTGCGTCCTGAAATTCCTATATTGTCATACTTTCGATTGTTAACTTATCCTATTTGTAACATCTGGTTGAAAGGAAACCAACCTAATGTCTTACCGTTCCCGAGAAGAGACGAACAAACCCGGTTGTTTACGTCGGATACGACCGAGTACGAAAACGTTTTTTCTTGTCGTTTTCTTTTAATGTACGATACACATTGTGTGTGTCACATACAACCCGGTTTATTTTGGGGGGCGCAAAAAGTGGACTCGAAATTCGTTCTCACACGAATTAACACAAAAATGCCCATTTTTAAAGTGATGGTTGTGCGGATGTTTATATCTTACTTTTAAATGCTCTTTCCGATTAAAATAATTTCGTTCTAAACGCGTTTTGTAGCCAAATTGTGCGCTTTCTAGAACGCATTGCCCCTTAAAAGCGTGCCTCGTAACTTTTTGCCTACAAAGATAAAATTTAATATTTGTGACTGCTGCTCTTATTTTCTAAAATATGTAAATTCACATTTACAGATGCGCCCAATCCAACTGGTGCCCTTCAGGCTTCAGAAACATCATTCTACCTGCAAGAAGGATTACGTCAGGTTCTCCCTTGTACCAGCTGGATACCAGGCACGGAAACCTGCGAGATTCAGTGGCTGAAGCTCGACATCCCCAATCAAAATGTACTCAGTTACAACCTGTCGACCAATCAGATTGAAGCACCCGTTACAGGATATGATCTGGCCAGTGATTTTGGTTTGGTTATCGCCTCAGCAGAAGATGACCATGCTGGAAGGTACAGATGTGATCTTGTGGATACTGCAACTGAGAGCGCTGAAATTGAAGTTCGCATCATAGGTAGGTTGGTTTCGGTTATATATATGTCATGCGATGTTGTTTAAAGCTCTCAATGATGGTCAGTTGCATTCTCCGGGATATAGAGATCCACCATCAGATATGCACATTACAAGGTTTACCAAATATTTTGACAGAACCAAATTTTGAGTTGAAGTCACAACTTCTCATGGCAAAACCCTGCGTAGGAAGCTTTTTACTGCTGTAGCTTAGCAACGTGCAAAACACAGTGATACTATTTATTTAGATATTTTTTTAAGCAACGGTGTCCCAATTTGTAAAATGACGTCAGCTTTTTGTGTTTTATTGATTTTTTTATTAAACAATTAAGGGTACTTCTGCAGCTTTACTCTCTGATATGTAGTTATCATTTGTGGGAATCTCTCAGTTTAAGTATTATACATCGTGCCATCCTCTGTTCCCGTTTCACATTTGTTATTAAACTCACTTTAATTATGTTGGTGCTTTTTTTTGGCTGAAACAACCAGGAAACCAATTTCCACTTGACGGCGGCAGTGCTACAGCAGATGACGCGGTTTCTTTTGAACCCGATCGAAAACTCAGCTTCACCTGCCTTGCTAAACGAAACATCTCCTTGACGACCAAAGCCACTTTGTTTTGGTCGTATGGCGCCCTCGATGCGCACACTACCACTGTGGTCGGCAAATTGGATCTTCTAGGTGTTTTCATGACGTTGTCTGATCTGGGAGACGACTGTTTCCAGACATCTACAGAGGGTTCCCTTATCTTGAACAATTGCTCACAAGATGATGACGTCAGATACTGGTGTCATGTCTTCCCCGACGGTGGCGTTGTCATCAGGTCGTATGTTGATTCACGATTGAAAAGTATGTGCAAATTATAAATACCATGATTTAATACACAGTCGGCATTGTAGAGCAGATCAGACAAGCGAATCAATACATGTAATTATTGAAGCTCGATAAATTACGATTCTTTTATGGCAAAACCCCGACTGCTTTTAGTTCACACGTCTACATAGACTACATACAAGTTTCAGTTCACATATGTGGAGTGACTTATTTATCGCTTCTTTGCCAATTAAAGACGACGATATTCGTATTGTGTTTCTATTTTTTATTCATTCTTTTCCCGACACAAGCTCCAACTGGTAACCCCGACTCGTTCTATATCCTCCCGCTGGTTTTATGCATTTGTGTACTAGTCATCGTTTTCCTGTTGATTGCCATGCTGTTGGTCTGGAATCGTCGCAAGCAAGGTACGTGAGCATTGCAGAATCTTTCTCCTGAAATTGGAGCCCATCCTGGAACAAATTTAATCTAATTAGAACCTCATTACTCACAGAGTTGCGATCTCTATAACTGGAAATTCGTATAATACGTTTAATTACAATGTTCGAATTACATCGTGGTTGTGACCTTTGTTTTTAACTTATTTCATTTCAGAATCTATTCCGACCTTTGACGTGAAAAAACTTCGCGGGAAAATTGAAACGTTTATAAAGAAAACCTTTAGTCAAATTCCAATCACGCCATGGGTTACATGGGCTGATGCAGACAAGGCACCGATGGGTAAGGTGTATGTACCGACAGAGATGTTACGTAACGTGCCCTTCCAAGATGGTATTGTAAGGTATAAATTAAACTCCGAGTCGGAAATCTTTGATGATGGGGACGAAGAACTGGGAAATATGCATGTACTCATTAATGGTAGATCAGGAAGTGGTAAGTCTACATTGTTGTACAAGGTAGCGTGTGATTGGTCCAAGGGGAGAAAAGACGCACTGCTGGCTGAGAAAAAGTTAGTCTTTTTTGTACCAGCTACAGTCCTCATTCAAACTGGCAATCTTGGTCAAGCAGTTGTTGAACACATGCTACCTTCACAACCGAAAACATTGGCAAGTTCGATCAATGAGTACTGCTGCAGTCATCCCAGTGATGTGGCTTTACTTGTTGATGGATGTAAAGGTGAACAAGACATAGATGCTGTGATGAGAATTATGAAAGAGCAAGGTCTTCTTGAATGTCAAATGATCATGACTACGATGAATGCAAAGATTGCACGAGATGCGTGCAATCAATATAACATGCGACACATCACGATCAATGGTTTTACACCAGACAATGTTCACCAGTACGTAAATAACATTCTCGAAATCTTGCTCGATCGAAATCCTGGTGAAAAATCACCTAAAAAGATTGCAGCAACTACACGAGTATCAAAACACACAGACACAGTTGTCACTATGGAAAGCACACCTCTGATTCCTTCACCTCAAGAAACAGCAGGTATGATAGGCGAGCAGAAAAGCCATATCTCCCTCTACCAGCGAATTAAATCCGATGAAAAACATTCTCGTGACGAAAAACCACAAAGTAAAGATACGCCGATTACAGGAAGCTCCAAACACCCAGACACAGTTGTCAATATCGAAAGCACATCTCCTAGCACTAAAGAAACACAAGACACGACAGGTGTTTATAAAGAATCTACAAATGATCTGACTCATGATGAAGAACGACAAAGTAAAGGTGGTCAAAAATCACCAAGTAAAGATGCACCAGGGACAGAAAGCACAACACACACAGACACAAATATCATTATGGATAGTACACAATCAAACACTGTGCCTACAGATTCACAACAAATAACAGGCGAGCAAAACACTGATGTCTTTTCTGACCTCCGCAGGTGTTTAGATGAGGATATCTTACCTCCACAGTTTGTTTGTCTGCCCGCTAATCTTGCGGCACTCTGTCAGTTATGCGTTTGGACCAAGGGAGAGGCATTCCGTTCTAATGCTTTGACCATTGGCGATGTTTGCTACAGGTTGGTCAAGTGTATGTTTCAGAGGAGTAAACCAATCAGAGATGACAAGTCTCTGAATGAGGAAACTGTCTTCGGCTATGGCGCTCACCTTAAAAACATCGTGGCAAAGGAGCAGCTTGAACTATTAATAGAGCTTGGCAAGGTGATTTGGCCCCAGATCTCTAAATACTACGAGGGTACGTTAACACTGTCTGAGTCGGACTTCCTCGGTACTGAAGGAGGACAGGAGGCTCTTGAAGCGGCATTCCAAGTTGGTCTGCTTTGCCGTTGCAAGAATTTTAACAGGAAATCTACGGTGGGGTCCACTGAACTGAATGCAGACATAGATGTCAAGGTGCTGAAACCAAACAATAGATGTTCATGTTTCTGTTGTAGACAAAGTGTTCAGAGTGAGTCCGAAATACCGCTGATACCACGAAATAAAGAGCTCCAGATACAAAACTTTGTCCTTGAGATACTGGAGCAGCTTTGCGTTGGCATGTACTTGGCTCATTCTACGGAAAGCGTGAGCAACTGGTTTGAAGAAATGACACGTACTTTTGGCCTTAGAACCAGTCTGGACAAGATTTCCAGTGTAGTCTCATTCGCCTGTCGGGAAAACCAAAATGACCGTGAAGCAGCAATCAAGCTTCTTGTAAAGATCGTGAAAACAGGTAGAAATCAATCAAAGAGTCTAAAAGATGTGCTCCCTGTGCAGAAATCACTGGAGTTAGCATTGGAGATCAATCGTGATAGCAATATCTCAGGTTCCGCGAACAAAACACTGAATATGCTGTTCGATAAGGGAACGATTCGTTTAATTGGAGTCTCGAGACACAAGATCCGTCTCCTAGTGTATCTTTTCAAACATGCACAGGAAGGTGGGGGCGATGGCAAGCTTAATGTGAAGTCGATCGAACTGTTTCGGATAGGTCGCAATGATTGGAAGGACGTTCGAGAAATGTTTGCGGGTTTTGTTCAAGTGTTAGCGGACGTAGGTAAGAACACATCTAATAAGGAGGAGAGACAAGCCAAGGAGGATAATTCCGAATCACCAACTCCTCCACATTCCCTGGATACAAAGACACATTCTGCCACTTCAAGGCAAGAACATATCGGGGAACACAAAGGCGAACACGGAGCACAGGACCCTGCTTCCTTAACAAGTGATAAAACATGTCAAGATGAGAATCAGAACATTAAAATGAGTGAACAAGATATTGAGGGATCGGTGTCAAAAGAACCAGAAGATGAAGAAAACCACCCAGGGGACAAACAGCAACCCAATGATACTGCCCTTCAGATGAGTAGCGACACAAATGTTGAAGAAAAAGATCCTCAGGCAGAACAGAGGTTACAAGATGCCTCAGCCTCTACAGAGTCACAAGATGAAGGAAACACATTTGAGAGCAACCTACAAGCAGATGAAAATGAATCCCAAACAGATGGAGGAGTGAAATCTAAAAAAAAACGGGACCAGTCTTCAAAATCTCCGAAGAATAAAACAGGTAAAAAATTAAAACCCCAAAGCAAAGCGACACCACCAGATGATGACAAAACCAAAAATGAGGCAGATAACCCTCCAAAAGTTTTAAGTCAATTCGAACAAATTTCTCCAATCATGAAAGAATCGGGAAGTGCATCACAACAACTGGAAGAACGGCAAACCCCTGAACCGAAAAATGACGACGCTAGTTCACCCGCCTCTCTCCCTCACGATACGCTTAAGATACCATCCTCAACAAAATCTTTTCTCGAAGTAGATCAACTAGACAACAAGGGCCCAACAGATGATGTGGCATCCCAGAAATCAAAAGGAGAGGAAATCCACCCAAGTCCCAGCTCTTATTCGACTGACTGTTCTGAACAAGACGTTATGGCTCCGACAAAATCACAAGGTGAAGGAAACAAATTCGAAGACAATCTACAAACAGATGAAACTGAATCGCAAACAGACAGAGCTCAAGTTGGAAAAGTGAAGTCTGCCGAAAAGCGGAGAAAGTCATCAATATTTTCGACAAAGAAGAATACAAAAGGTGAAAAAGAGAACTCCCAAAGCAAAGCCGCACCACCAGATGATGACAAAACCAGACATGAAGCAGAGAACCTTCAAAAAGATTCACGTCAATCCGAGCAAAATGCGCAAATCAAGATAGAATCAGAAAGTCCATCCAAACAACCAAAAGAACAGCAAACCCCTGCACAGAAAAATAAAGACGCCATTCCACCCGATTCTAAAATCGAAGTACATCAACCAGAAAACGGAGAGCCAGTAGACTTTGTGCCATCCCAGAAGTCAAGCGAAGGGGAGGTCTACTCAAGTCCCAGCTCTCATTCGCTCGACCACCCTCTGGAAGCACTCGGTAAGGTGTATAAACCCGAAACACTCAGAGCATTGCGGAAAAACGTAGAATCAAGAAACGAAGATATGCCTTGGTTCCATCCTGACCAGTCAGACATCAGTGTCCTTCATACCGTGCAGTCTTTTGGACTACAGGAGACCGTTGATTCGCAATGTGGCGAATGTCATTCCTCGAATGCAGTTAAAGACTTCATTCACTGCTTGCCTGAATTGAAAACGCTGGAAAGTCTCATTCTGGTTGGGACGATTCTAAGTCCAAAAGATATATGCTCCCTAGCAAGTCATCTGAATAAAATCACCAAGTTGAAGAAGCTTGATCTTCGTCTGAACCAACTTTTCGACGACCGTGCCTTTGAGGCTGTTACCGACTCGCTACATGCTTGCAAGGAGCTTAGGGAACTAAGACTGTCTCTGTACAGAGTGACTAAAGATGGGTTCAGTAATGTCAAGACGAAAATGGAGAAAGGTGGAGGAAAGTCTTGGGAAAGACTAGAGACGCTTTATCTTCTACACGCTTCCCCTGCAGAACCACTCGTGGAATTCTTGTCCGACAGTCTGAAATATCTCCATGACATAGAATACATCCATATGTCAGCATCGTCTCCAAATGATGAGATATCAGAAAATGTTCTCCGTGACGTCAAACATAATATGGAAAATCCAGACTATGTGACAAACTTAAAAATGCCAGTCATGGAGAACATGGAGCAACTGAAATCAACGTTGGCCCAACTAAAGCTGCCGAAGGGGAAAAAGAAGCAGACACGCGACTTGGTTCCGAAACTTGTCGAGACTGTCTTGGAGGACATTCCAAGCTTAGAGGAAATAAAGAGGGCAGGACGGGGTGCTGTGATTGGAGCAAAAATTGGGAGTAAAGTTGCAGGAAAAAAGGGAGCCAAGGTGGGAACAGTAATTGGTGCAGCCGCAGGATCTGTTCTGGGATGAGTATAGCGTCTCTGGTGTTGCAGACATGTAGCACATCGGTTAATGGCTTTACATTGTTACACTTACAGGTATTGCCTGTACTGATAGTAGACCAGAGTAGATCTCGTTCATCCGATAATAAAAAGTATGCTTGTTAAGTACATGGAAAATAGAAAATCATGAATTGCTAGAAAATCTGAAAACTGTTTCAATAAAAAACGAACCATTGTACTTCCCATTGGAGCTAAATACTACATGTATCTACAACATCGATATGCTCGCTTGTCCCAGAGTATGTCTTAAATTATTACTTTTGTAATAATCTACTCAAGTTCCACCAACCTTCCGTTACCCACGTCCGAGCTCCTCTTTTCGAGTCTTACAAGCAGTCCCCTGCTGAGCTCACGTCGGCCCTGGAAGTCAAGCTAAGAGAGTGATGGAAATGGATAAGTAAACACACCTGCGCTGACTGAAAAATCACAAAACTTGTCAATGAGTCAAGCATTTTCAAACCTGGCGAGCGGTTACTATTAACAATAGGACAGCCAAACAGAATAATAAACTTGATCAGGATGTCTAAGAAAACTCTTGTTGAAGGAGACCAACATGAGAGAAAATTACTCGTACGACCTGTATTCAGCTGGGCACAATTATAAAGCTTAGCACGGGGTTAGATTCGCCATCACACGCTCTGATCCCAAGCAGTCGGGGTTTCAAAGGACGATCTCGTTTCAGTGCTCCTGCTCACTGCATGAATCAAGATATTGGGTATAATCTGAAAGTCGGGTAGCATATTATTTTAGAGCAGATGCAGAAGCTGCGATTTCTGAAACATTCTAACGGAACTTATCTGAAGCATCGATATGTCCCAATAAGAAGTGGAAGTTGTCGATAAAGTCATGGTGGTCTCATACCTGGCTTGCCAAATACACTGTCGTTCAAGTTCTCGACGTCAATGTGAAGTCTTCAATTCTAGTTCTTTGAAGAGCACCGCCTGTCCGTGCTCAACAGGCAGTTTCACTCGAACTTGTGTACTTTTGTTCTGTTTTTTCTTTCTTCTTCTTCTTCTTCTCTTTTTCCCTGGCAAATCCCATAGACTTTGTACACGTCTTTTCTCAACGCCACTTTTGCCAATACTCTTTGTCGTACATCATTCAAAGTAAGCATGGGTATATTACTTAGAGCAAACATGTGTCCCGAAGAGTGACGTCATGATTACGTCATCATGGGTCGCGTGACGTCATCACAAACGTGCATATTTTTAAGTCCTATATATACAGAATTGTAAGTCCAATTGGGTTGAAACTCAGTATGCAGTTAGACCGGGATTTGTTATAGGTAAAAATTGAGGTGACTTCATCATGACATCATCGTGCGATTTTATATGATTTTGTTTAATTGTTGGACCTTTCAGCCATATCTCACGAACGCAACATGCACAAATCAAAATTCTTTTTGTATTATGTTTGATAGGTAATACGTATATGTAAATTTGAAAAATATGTGACGTCATCATGACGTCATCAAAAGTGCATTTTTCTAAAACACATTTAAGGGAAAGTCTGATCGTCATGAAACTTGGTGGAGAGTAGCTGTCTCGGCAGTACCCGGCTCTCTAATTATATGAAATTACGCACCGATCGACCGATAAGAAAACGACTTTTAAGGTCAGCTTAGGCTATAAGCAAATTGAGCACAACCCCAAAACCTCACATGGACGATTGGACCAAGGCGTTCGTCCGGATCCAAATGAATGGAAGTAATTTTTACATCATAAGTGTGATACCGATTTCTTGATAATGTCATGATCAACAACATTAATTTAATTGTGTCTTGAAAATTACAGCACAGTTTAGAATGACAGTTATATCAATGTTATTATATTAAAATACGCGACTGTTGTAATGTTTTGTGAAATGAAAACGATACCGTAACACGAAGAAAACATTGTCACAGCCTCTTTTTTTTAATTCTTCTTTGGCCCTTGTAGTGATATTTCTGATCTTATGTTACGTTTTAGTTTTGCATTATTTTGTTTTCAATATCGCATTGTAATTGAGCGGATCGTTTAGAAAGTACCATCCACAATTTATTCTAATCAGCGTTTGTTATTTTATGAAATAAAATGGAAATATGACATTTTACCTGCATCAATTATTATGGTCGATGTCAATCAAACTCATTGTACATATGTGTCATGATGTGAAAAAAATGTGCCTTTAAAGTGTATTATTCTGTCTTAATGTATCGGCTGTCCAAAGGTGATTTTTTTTTTGCTTTAATTGTATCGCCCAATCTCTGTTGAGGCAATTGTGTTGGTATTAATTAAAATAATGTATATTATATATAATAAAACTGAACTATTTACGCTTACATTGATGGTATTACGCATGCTCATACACCCTTTACAAGTTGCATGTGGAATACAAATTAAGAGCTATTTGTATAATTTTCATTGTATTACGTGAAGGTATATTTGCTCAATTTAGAAGACATTCAATGCTAAAAAGTCGAATTGACATTGCTTTAATCATTGGTCCTTTTGATTATAGAAGGTGAGTGATTATCTAAAATTTCTGACAGAAATGGGTTATAAATTGTTTAAGGTGCGAAAGTTGCTATAGGATTACAATTGAAAGTTTATTTTCAATCACATGTCCAGCATATAATGCCTTTATTTCTTTAAAAAATCTGGATATTATTTGATTGTAGGGGACCGTTTGAGAAGTTTTGCAAACAGATTTGGGCACCGATAAGGGGACAAAATATTGTGACAAATCATTTTTTTTTTTTTTTACTTTCTTTGTATTTGTTTGGGGGCCTTTGGGATGATATTTCTAAGCTGACGTTAGGCTACAATTTGATGTCAAATCTCATATTTGTTTTCTCAATATAGCATTGTATATCCCCAGGTTACTTGTTTTCCATATTGCTTTGTTTAATGGATAGTTTGAAAAAAATCCCATCCATAATTTCCTTATAACAGTAATTATCATGTCTCAAATATATTGGCAATAATGACCTATCAATTGCATCAATCAATCTTTCTAGTTGTCAGTCACGCAATTTAGTAGTAGGTTCAATTATTGTTTGCATATTTGTAATGATTTTAACTTGTCTTTAAATTACACACGCACAACGTATTGACTGTCTAAAGGCTTTTCAACAATTTGTTTTCGCCCACATTTTGTTGAGGTAATTCTGTTGAACTATATCTTCGTAGAGGAAATATTAATTAAAAAAATACTGCATATTTGACATAAATATATGAATTGAAATATCTATGCCTTAGTTTGTGTTTTAATAATATCCATGCTAATATACAGTGTGTACGCTTTTCAAGTTACTTAGCATATTAATGCACCATTATTAGTATAGGTTTATTTGTATTGAGTGAATGTTATATCTGGTCAATGGATAAGACATTTAATGTTGAGTAGTCGAATTAGTCTTTACTCATCATAAATCCTTTGGATTCTTGTGAAGGTAAGGACTTGTCTGCAATTTCTGAAAGAAATGGGTTATTTTTCATTACTTTGGTGTTAAGTTGGTATTATATTAAACTGAAATTGTTAATTTACAATCACATGCCCAGCAATTAATGCGTTTAATCCTTACAAAAACTCGGTAGCTTTAAATAGTATATGACCGTTTTTTTTTATTGATTAGGAAACATTTCCATTGTTACACCGGACGTTGAATGATTTGTTAAGGGTTCATAATTTTAATGTAATTTACAAGAAACATGCCCAGCATGCAAAGAGATTATGAATTCTTTCATAAACTCGGACCACAACTTTGACAATACAGTTCACTCGATTATTCGGATGTAAGAGGAGACATTTCTATTCACAAACCGAACTTGAAAGAGTCTATAATTTCTTGCTTCTAGGATATTCAGTTACTATTCAATTTAATGGGGGTATTTGTCGCATTACTTCTCTGTTTCGAAATTTTGATATCCTCATGACTGACATACCTTGTGAGTTTTATGTCTGTCCTTCTCTTTAAAAAAAAATGGTTTTAGTTCCGTATTCTTGTACTAATCAGTAAAAAGTGAGCCTTAAAGTTAATATAGAAATTGTTTTGCTGTTGTTTTCAGAAATAGTCGGAATAGGGGATAAGTCTGTTATGTCAAATATTGTTACACTGACGTTTAATAAAGTTCATAGATGCTGGGAAAACCAAGAAAAAAAAGCTGTTTTGTAGTCTGGTTCCCTTACCATACTTTTAGTTCCCTGATCTTGAAACGAGGAACCAGGCTAGCTGGGTGTAGCCCGTTCAAGGTTGGTCAATAATTAACCGATTGCAAACAAAATGTGTTCAAAATGAGTTTGGTGAATGTGGGACAGCTTTTGAACAAAAGTCCGTTACTCCCAAGAACGCCCCGTATCAAAATAACAAGATATACACAAAAGCGGCATAGTTATTTTGTTCATTTTATTAAGGGAATAACAGTGTGAGGAGCCGGTCTTCACTGCGTGATAATGACCGGGTGTGGGGGAGACCGCTGTTAATGGACCGAGACGAAATGACCGGGTGTGGGGGTGACCGCTGTTAATGGACCGAGACGAAGTCGAGGTCCATTAACAGCGGTCACCCCCACACCCGGTCATTATCACGCAGTGAAGACCGGATCCTCACACTGTTATTCCCATTAATAAATACCTTTTTAACGAAATAAACAGTTAAAACGCTCCAATTTTGTGACTTTCTTTCAGCAATATTTCCAGACTTTTTTGTGTTCATGTTCATGGGCCATATTTTAGCTTAACAGCTATAACGACGTAAACTCAACAGAAACTGCTGCCATAGCGAAACAAATTACAACAATATTTTCATATCTTTACCTGATGGAGGAAGCTGAAATCTCGTTTACACATTCCTTGTGTCCGGGATTACAAAGATGCTTGGTTTAGGAAAGGTAAATATGTCGGTGGGTGAAGTGTCCGAAGAAAATAAAGCGTAGATCTACGCTTTCGTCGTAAACATCCTCAGTATATACTGCACTGCTGTACGAT